AATAATTAATGATAGTTTATTAAAGAACAATTTTATAATATTGATTTATGTGTTGTTATCTTTATGTTCTTCTCACCCCTCAGTCTTTCTTCTTTTATGTCTGTTTGTCTATGTGAACAATTGTGTGTGTCTTTTTCCCTTGCATTTTTTTCCTTCCCTGGCTGACATAGTGTTCTATGTTAGACCATCAGTGTTTCTACTGTACTTTCACTCCTCTTCTCTGTCTGTCTATTCTATGTTGCACTGTAAAGTTAAATAATAATAATAATAAAAAATAAAATAAATAATACACTCTATACCTATCATTATTATACAGTACTGTCTATAGAAATAACTTCACATTATATTGTATATACTAAAAGAATATAACTCCTCCTAATGACCTTTACTCATTCATTCATTATCAGACAGTATATATTTACCTGAATTTGAGTTACATCAGTATTCTTGTTAACAGTTCAATATATGTATGGAATACTATTGATTTCACCATCACTTGGTCCCACTTCAGAATACACTCCAACAACTAATAAAATACAATAATATTAATAACATTATAATACTGAATGGTACTTGGTTATAATGTACATGATGTGGCTGCATTAAGTACTGATGATCAAAAGCATATGTACATGTAAATGTATTTTAAGTAAAAATGATTTATTTATTGTATTAAAGTGATGTGTGTACTAATGTCATTGTGTAGTGTATGCAACACTTTTCTTAAGTAACCTGTAATACAATAGAAATAAACTGTTGATGTACATATCCTAGTCTATCACTAGGACACACTGGACTATAAAATGGAGAGTTTGAACCAATGTTGCTGCAGATAGTAAGATAAGATCAACACCAGCAGCAGTAGCCATTAGTAAGAGGAATGAGAACTGAACAGCTAGTTTACACTATTAGAATATATAAACAATAAGCTGTTTGCTCAGGACAATAATATAAACATTAAATGCAATGTGTGTGTGTATACACAAAATAGCTAATGTAAGTACACAGCTTGAAAAGATTATATCAAAATAGACTAGATCTATGTTACATCATTATTTGTCCATATGCATCATTATTATGTACATTAATTATATCTTTATTAATAACATCATAAGCAGTATTAGCCTGTAGTTCCATTGGTGTATCATATATTGGTACTCCAGTAGTAGTAGTTGGTTTAATAATGATCTCATCATATGTAGGAGTAACTGCTGCATCAGTACTACTGTAGGTTTGATAATACATGAATACATAAATATAGATGTAAACTTGCTCTTTAGATATTTTATATTTTTTTCCTGTATACATAATAGCAAAATACCAATGATTAAAAGTGATTATAGCAATCAAACTTACTTCTTTGTTTCTTGATTGCCAGTATCACTAACACCAATATAATAATAATTATTATTATTATAACAAATACTGTTCCAATGGCTCCTGATATAATAGGAACAGCATTAGAACCAGCAGCAGTAGTTGATACAGTTGTTGATGATGAAACTGGTACACTCATACTAGTAGTACTAGTTGATGTACTAGTAGCTGAAATAAAAGATGATGATTGTTCATGAATTGTTGAAGACACTGTAACTGTTACTGCCATAATTAATTAATGGAATAAAGCTAGCACTTACTTGAAGTAGATGATATAACTGTAACTGATGTACTGGTACTAATATCAGTAGTTAATGTAACTAATAATAATATACAATATATCATGTACTAATGAATAATGAATTAACTGTACAGACCTGATGATGGAGCATTAGTAATTGAACTAGTGGTCACTGTAGGAGTAACAATTATACTGACTATTAATGACAACAATTGATGGGTTCTTAAAATCAACTGTTAATACCATTAACAGTAGCTGATGGTCCATATCCAATAATATTAACAGGAATGATAGTAACAGTGTAGTTTGTATCAGTAAGAGGTAGTCCAGTGATAGTAGTATTAGTATTAGTTGTATTATTAGTGTATATAATACTGTTTGATGTATTGTATACATTAATAATGTAATACTGAATAGGAGGAACTGGTATAGTGGAATAGTCCTAAATAATTTATTATC